ATCGATATTCTTTAAGCTTGTATCGGATTCAGATTTTCTTAGAAGCGTAAAGTTTTAATTAGTTTCAACAGTCGCTGTATCTTGCGACACGGAAAAAACATCGAAGAAACTTCTTCTTCGGCTACGTCCAGGAATTGGACGTAATTGAAACTCGCGGTTAAGTCGAACGAATTCTTATTCAACCGGTTTGGATAATCACGTTGAAAAGGGGCTCGAATCCCTCTGGGGTCGGACGTAAGTCTTGTCGAAGTTTCGCTAGTCGGGATTTACGCAATGATCAAAGTTTAATCCCATTTTATTGGTCCGCGCACCCGGTTCTTTCATAAAATCTCCTCTCGTCGCTTTCCTTCGCTATGGAATGGGATTTCCAGTTGTAACTACGAAGGACGGACCCCGAGAAGTGAATATTCTCAAGGAACACGATTGCAAGAAAATAGCGGCGAATAACCGTAAAATGATGATCTCCGCCTTTCAGACTCTGATCCACACCTGGATAATAGGGTTCATCCTGTTCACTCATCCTTCTCGTCGAAGCACGAACGGTTGGCCATCGAGTGCTCGCGACCGGAAGTCCAGACGAATTGTATTCCAGGTCAAAAGTGGCGCTGCGAGAGGGAAGGTCACCGATGGAGGAGACACAAGTGCAAATATGCCGCCCCTTCGCCAAGGATGTCGAAGAAATGCGCCTGTTTCACGCCAAATGGAGTCGTTTATACCAGATTGGAGTCGAATGATTACATCGATGGGCATCGATATGGCTTTGGCAGAGACAGAAGACCCACAGATGTGTATACGGACGTGGCCAGATATTTTGCTAGACGAGGTACCTCACGAGACCTAGCCATTTCATTCAATTTATTTAGTAACGTTTTCGAGATTAAAAATATTTTAATAATGTTGAGTGTTTTAATATCATGAAATATCACATTTACGACGATATGGGATTTGCGAATCACTCAGGAAAGAAATTGATGCACATAATTTTCTAAAAATTTCTTAATGTTAGTAGAGCAGATGCGTGTTTAAGTATTGAGAAATTAAAAAGTATTTCCGGCATTCTTATGCTTTTCCAATAAAAATAAAAATCAATTGGTTTTTTGTCCCGTGCCATAAAAAATCATTTTGGTTGATTAAAAGATCAATAAGGGGATAGGATGCAGAGATTAATAATTCTTAGTAAGGAAGGAGATCATCGTTCACGATTTTTCTCAGGCAAACGAGACGTGTCAGATATGGACAGCGAAGATGTTAGCCGAGATATCGACGGGAACGATGATGACTATAATGATGGTGACCGGGACCGACGAGCCATCGACGAGGAGGACGACGAGGACTTCTTCCAGGAACTGAACAGCCTCGCGAACGATGTTAAGAGGGAATACGTAAACTTGATCTTCAGGTACGAAAGTTTAGAAAGTCGTTGATGATTCGTTGGATAAGAAACGAACGTTTCATCGTAATGAATGTGCTCCTAGGGACAGGTTTGATAACCGAACGTCGGAAGACGAGTCTCTCGAGTTCGATAATTTAAATGAATCTGAATACTCGATCAATGACTTCGATCCTAGTTTGGATAAAGTAGTCAAAGGACGACTGAACATCGAAGACGTGGTAAAGAGGCACAGGAGGATACGGAGGAGTGTCGCGAAGAAAGACACTGTTGAACATGTGACGAAGATCATGGAGAGTATCGAAGAAGAACTTGATGATTTAAAGGTATATACTTGTAATATAACAAATTTACGGACGAACGTATCATCTTCATTCTCATATTTAGGCGACCCAAGCACGGCAATCAGAATCAAAAAGAACATTTCCACCGAAATGTTCGGTTCTTCCACAAGGAGGCGTGAACTGCTCAGAAACCGTGTACCAAGATCCCAACGAATGGCGAATTTCGAGGCGAGAAATTGAACAACAGATCAGAGAAATGAGGTTGCAGTTGGAAACTTTAAAGGTGAGCATCGAAGATACGTGTTTTATTTCGCACAAAGTATGCATGACGTGGTATTCATTCCAGGATATTCGTCGTCACTTGATGACCAAGCGACCTCAAGTTATGCGAGACCCAGAGGATGGGTCAAAGAACACAGACGAAGCACACAAATCGCACCATCACCCTTCGAAGAACCACGTGAATCGCCATCACAAGAAACACGATCACACTACTACGCTTAATCCTACTGCATCAACCACTCGTCCCATCGTGAAGCACAACCAAGTGGCGGAGGACAGAACTGCATTTACAGATACTACGGAGAAGCCTAGATTTAACGTTACAGTCACAGAAAGTACCGATATCGATACGACCACCACGACTGAACCAACGTCCACCACGTTATCAACGACTTCCAAACAAAAAAAGGCGCCTCGTCGTCAAAAGATGAAGGAAGTGGTCGGTAATAGGACGGAAGTGGAGGATGATAAACCACAAAGGCGCAGGAAGTTTCACCATCATCGAAAGAATAATACTCTATTCACAAACAGCGTGCATGATGAGACTCCAATAGTGAATGTCAGTGAAACAATGGAGACGACTGTAACTACGCAAAGCACGATACCGAATCAGAGGCATCAGAAGTATCATCAAACCAAGTATGCAACCGTTCCTACCACGACGATGAAAGAAACCACGATTCGAAAAGAGACTTCTAGCAGTATAGGAACCACGAATGACTTTACCAAAGAAACTACGATAGGAACAAACGCCCAAACGGTGCTGTCAACAGGATCAGAGATAGGGTCTACTCTCGGTGAATCGACAGAGCCACAAAGAACGACTCCGGTGTTTCCCAGGACAAGTACCGAAGCTCGTTCGAGAACGTTCCCGTCTACGACTGTGACTACGACGCCCATGACCACACCAGTTACGGCGTCTTCGACTAGAAGGTTTCCAAAGGTGCAGAAGAATAGAACGACCAATCTTGGACCCTCTAGAATCGATGTTACTATTTTGGAATCTCCTGATAGAAGAAACAGGCAAGGTTAGTAATTGTGCATACAGTGACTCACGGAAGTATTTGAACACAGATTTGATTGAACTTATTCTTTTTATACTAGATATAATAGATATAGCAAATAGTAATCGTCGACTACCACCGATGTTGAACAGTCCTCTAGAAGCTCGTCATAAGTGCTACTGCGAGCCTGATTCTTACTCGAAAAAAGATGAGAAAGAAATTGCTCGAGAGGAAAGAAGAAGGTTGAAGGAAGAACGTTTGAAGAAGAAGGAAAGGAAATTGAGAAAAAAGGCCAAACTCGAGAAGGAATGTTTAACGGAAAAGATGAACTGCTTCGAACACGATAACGACCATTGGCGCACAGCTCCGTTATGGAGCGCGGGACCATTCTGTTTTTGTATGAATGCTAATAATAATACGTATTCGTGCATTCGTACCATTAACGCGACACACAACTTCCTTTATTGCGAGTTTACTACTGGCTTGGTCACTTATTATAACCTGAGGATCGGTGAGTACAGCATTTGTACGTGTAAACTCAGTTTTCTAAGGAAAATTGGTTTCAATTATTAACTCTTGTTTCTTTTTCGTTTAGATCCATTCGAACAGTGGAACAGGCTTTCATCTTTAACATCTTCAGAACGTTCCTATCTTCACGATCAATTGGAACATTTGAAGGGCTGCAAAGGAACAAGGGATTGTACGGTTGGAAGCGCGAGGGAAGCGTTGCCACAACTGCAGCAACATCAGAGATTCATTTCAAAGAGAAAATACGCAAATTCCTTTGGTATGTTTGATTGATAATATATAAAATAGAAATTTTAGAAATTTATCTATTAATTTGTTGCTATTTCTTTTTATAGAAGATATGTTCATACCATCAACGTTACAAATTATTCGAGAAAGTGAACTCAGTAGCCCGCCGAATAAGAGACGAAAAAAGTTGCAAACGTAAATGTTTTTTTTATCGAAAACTTGACTTTATATTATGTATGATATACTGAATTATTACTTTTTATTAAGGAGCGTTTGGAACAGACGAAGCAGAAGCTGGCAAAGTAGTTGGAGGCATCATCAAGACGCGGTGAATTATCGTCGACACAGACATCAGTACTGATAATCATGGTTCGTTTATTTCTCTTTGGACAAGTCGTCGAAGGATGCGTGACAGCATTGCCTTAGATGTATATTAATTTCGCGATGCATTTAATAACGTAATTTATTTAGTGATATTTAATTGAGAAAGGATACGTGATATTTAATTGAGAATGTTCGGATTCTATTAATTAGACTCGCGTTGCTCGATACGAGTGCACCGTGTATATTTTTAACATTATACTTCTTATGGCAAAATTATTGCGACTGATCGGACGCGTATCGCGTGTACTATAATCACGCGTATTTAACAATCGAAAACGATCTAAACAATCCTTTTTTTACTTAATAGCCGATATTTTTTATAATAATTTATTTACTACTACGTCCCTTTAAGTCTCTTTATACAAGAAGCGAATTATCTCGAATAAAACTATATTTGCCTAACGAGATTTAGAGAAATTTAAAAAAATCTTCGATTATCCAGAACTAGCAACACGATACTTCTTTACGAGGTGAATAACCGATATCAGTAGCTTTATAGACAATAGAGTGTCTAAGAGGAGAGAAGGATATGAGGGTTCGTCTATCGCGTTAAAGAGCTACTTCAAACTCGAATTCTACGTGACTACGAACTGAAACGCACAACGAAAGAACAAAACACAATATAAAAATCGTCCTGCCAAAAGCCTTTTACCTTTCCTTACGAAAATTTCTATACGCCAGTACGTTCATGAAACGTTTATTCTATCAAAACTGCCATTCGTTTAATTCTTTCCTATTGCCTTCAAGCAATCATGTTGCAGAATAAATTGTCACTTTTGTGTCTAACAATCGTTCTAGCCAATCGTTACTAGGATGTTTGAGTAGAGACAGGAAAAAGGAAGGTAATTTAAGCCACAATGCTAAGACTGTACGAGTTTCAATGAAATCAATTAAAAAAGCAACTTTTAACATCATTTATTCTGCGTAATTTCCTGTCTTTCTAGAAACAGTATGAAAACTTTTGTGATTGCTACATCTAACAATCTCTGTTATAAAAAAAAAAGAAAAAAAAATTGAATGCTAATGGATGCATATGCTGCTATAGGTATACAAGCAAAAAGTAAACTGTGCTTACTTAAAACGTTTGCTTGAACAATTATAAGAGTCTTAGACAATATTTGTCCTTTTACAATTTCTATTGTTGTAGTTGAAATATTACATATCTATACGTCACTATACAATAGCTAGATGCTTGTTTCCATTAGCATTTTATTTTTTTACAAGTATATGTCTGTGTTATGTACTAGATTCTCAGTTAGTGCCCTGAGAATATCTTCAAGATTTTGAAGTTAAAGCAATGTATTTAAATCATGTGAAATAAATAAATAAATACTGTCCGAATTGCGATTGATACTCCGTTCACTTAAGTAAAAAAATGAACAAATTTTTCGATAATAAAGAAAGAAAAAAAGATAAAAAGAAATTGAAAAAATATAAACATATTTCTTTGTATCTTCTAATGTCTTTTACATAAATTAACAGGAACTTCAATAGAAAAATAATATGCATGAAGAAAACATTTCTGACTTCAAACATAATTCTTAATTAATAGATATGCAGAACTTAAAAATCAATAGTAAGATCGAAATCTTCATTGTCATCAAAAATGTTTTTTGCACTTTCAATTTCAGTGGTATTTTTGCTATACAAATTAGTACTTTCGCTATTATTATTGCTACATGGTGCATTATCTATTTCTTCTGGTATAAAATTATCATATTCTTCCTCATTATTATAGATAAAATCTTGTTTAGTATCATTTTCATAAGAAAGATCACTACCTATATCTGTGTGCTCATTTTGTAAGCACTCGTACATCATATTATTATGAAGATGTTCTATATCATCAGATTTCTTATAATTACTACTCTGACTACCTGCAGCTTCAAAAGTATTAGATCTAGTCTCTTCTGGTGTATCTAGATATTTTGCCCACTTGCTTTCAACTTTTATATTTGGCTTTGGTTTCTCATAATGATAATTCATATAGTTATCATTAGTACTGTTACATCCACTAAAGGATATGTTCTCCTGAATCTCATGTGTTTTCATAAGATTTAATTTTTGAACCATAACACGACAATCTCTACCTGAGCCTTTAAAATAAGCCTAAAAATTGCAATTATCTGCTATCTTGCACGTATGATATTTATTTTGTGATATATTATGATGAACATCGAAATTAAAATTTTTCTGTTATAAATGAAATTAACTAACCTGTTTGAATGTCTGTTTAAAATTACATATTTTGCATTGCCATTTCTTTGCTTTCTTGACTATGTGAACCTATAATTCATAAATTATTAGAAATCGAACGTTATAATACCAATTGACAATAAATTACTGCGCATTTGACAGTTACTTGATATGTTTTACACGAGTAACAGCGTAAAATGTTCATTTCCTGTGACATGATGATAATTTATAGAAATACGATTGCAAAGAACGCTTTCTACGGTTAAATCTATTATGTTTCAAACAATAACACTTTTCAAATTATTTCGAACTTCGAATGTCTTTGATGCTTGAAAATGCAGCATGACCATTATGGCGGTATCACATTTTGGCGGGAAATTAAGCCGTGCCTGTAAGTTGTTCAATTTTCGGTACTTCCGATAGAGTGAATACTTCCGGTAGATTTGATTCGATTTATGCGTTCTAAATTTTACAATTTTCATTTGAATATTTCGTTATAAACGCGCAAAAAGAAGTGAAAAGCAGTAATAATTAGTAAGCAGTAATTAGTAAGTAGTAGCAGTAAGAAAAGCAAAAGTAATAATTTTCTTAAAATATTTCTTGTTATTCAAAGCATAGCAATAATTATAGCTTATATAGCCTATAAAGATAGTTACTCCTAATAGCGAATTCTTATGATGAATTGCAATAGATTATGTTTCATCTCTGTTTAAAGGAACCAGTATGCATTTATATTCATATTTCACTCATTATGTTATACTATTATATTTACACACAATTCTTAACACATTTATCAAAAATAATTTAACTAATAATCAAACATAAGTCATTTATTCAAAGTCTATTTTGCAATTGGGCAAAGCTTTGGTAAGTTCTTTCTGAACAGTATTATCCGTGATACTTGATAATCCTTTAATTTTCAATTGTTTTAGATTTCTGAAATACCAAAATATAAGCAATATTACATTTTGTTAGATATATCTTATTCATTTTTATATATATTACATACTTCAATACTTTTAATTCACGTAGTCCATCATCATCAATGCTTTTACATTTTATAATTTCTAAATTAGTTAAAGAATCTTGAATAAGCGATAGATAGGGTATAGCTCTATTATCAACGTATCTGCAGCTTTCCAATTTTATATTTTTTATGTGTTTGCATCCTCCTAATGTGGTAACCCAATGAATAATTGTCATCATATAGAAACTATTTCATGTCATTAAATTAACTACAATACTAACCAAGATATGGAAATCCTACATCACATATTCCAGCATCATTTGCTTCAATAGATTCAATGTAATAGTTTCCACTAGATGGTAATGCATTATAATCAGTTAATGATTCAGAAAAATCTTTCCATCTGACAGATGCCCCATTTTTTAAAAGCCATTCTGCACAAGCACGATCCGGACCAATTTCCTTTATACGATCAGCATCAACTCTTTAAAAAAATGTTTCTTATATATTTTGTTCAATGAATCAAACAATAATGCTTTATTGTAATACCTATTAAATGCAACAGTAAGCCAGTAAAAGAAAGGCCTACTTTGATTTCTTGTATTTTGAATTAAAGATGTTAATTTGCTTAATATCTGAAATAAAAGGTATATGACAATAATCCTATTAATGGCAAAATGAAGTAAATTTTTTATAGTCTTACATAGACTGTCATTGTTCTTCTATTGTTTTAACAATAATATCATTAAATAATTATAATATTACTCAAATCTTAAGGTACCGAAAGCACAAGTTACTTAACCACAATGTAAGAACCAAATTGCGCATAGAAGATCGTGTATATACTCATAATCCTATAATAGACCAAAGAACTATGGCATCTAATCAGATAATATTTTGAAATTTAGTGCGCATTACTATTTACAATACAAGTTAAGAATTTATGTAAAGTGCAAACATTTAAGTAATAAAATCAAGATATTCCGATAGAGGGCGAAAACAAATTTCCCAGTGGGTAATACAAAATTTTATTCGAAATACCACAGTAGTTTCTCGAGCACAAAGAAACAGTATCACTATGAGGAATATTGAATCATAAACAAATGAAAAGAATTCCAAATCATATATATGATTCCCAGCTATTAAAAGAATTTGTACCAATCACTATACAGTATACATTGTTTAATACAGATGTCAGCGACAAATTGCATTTCAGTGGGTTATACTATTCTACGTTACTCGTAGTCTCTGGATCTTATAATTGTATGTGCCGCCGGTTTGAAGAGTCAAAACAAACCTGTGTGATTACGTACGAGAGTGATTACGTTTGGCAGAAAAGCTACTAAATAGCAACGATATGAGTCGAAGGAAAAGAGCGAAGGTTTGTATTGTTAATCTTCTATCCCACATTTAATATTATCCATTACTAAATATATTCTTATAAGGGTTATTATATGATGTGTTATTTAGTACACTGATTGTTACAAAGTTTGACTATAATATGAATCAAGTGTTGGTTTTCCCATATTCCTTCATGAAATAGTACTAGACGATAGAAATTCTTGTGTGGAGGATAATTCGCACGCGTGTACCTTGAATAATACTGTGCTGTAAATAACCAGACTAGGTTATGTTTTGGTTAGACTCATTATTTGTTACTTATCTTACTTTGTCAATAATCGTAAATTTATCTTTCTCTAATTAAAAGCGAGTATATTGTGTGTAAATTAAAATAAATGTTTTTTATGCAACTTTTAATTCATCAACGTCTGTAGAAACTTTTAACCTATATGTTAAAGTAGATCTCTGTATACTTAATAAAGTTTTGGTTATGAATTGATTTACCATTGAATATTGCTTCTTTTATTTGTGATTTTATCAGATTCATATCTATGTATAGGTGGAGTACAGAGAAATGGAAGAGAAGTATAACCAAATGGAAGATGAAAATGCTTCAGATACATCGGAGAAATCTAAACCTGGTCTTGTTACTCCAGAAAAGAAAGCTGTGCCTGAAGTAAAAAAAGATACTGATACAAGTATATCACAATCTGTATCTACCTCTTCTGCTCCAAAAATTGAAGTAAAAGATGAAGATGATCAAGATAGCGATCATGAAGATCCTCATGGTAAATCTATCTGTTAATGAAATATATTTTTTCTGTAATTGATTAAATTTTAATTTCTTTATTTAATTGTAGTAAAGGAATTACTTAATGGTTTGGAGGGGGCAGCATTTCAAAGTCGTCTTCCGTTTGATAAACTAACTTCCACAGAAGCTGCTTGTTTCCCAGATGTTTCTGGTGGACCACCGCAGACCCAAAAAGTTTTCCTTCACATTAGAAATAGACTCGTAAGAAACTTAAGTTAAAAAGAAAATTGCGGAACTTTCATGTATAAATGTTTTTATTTCAGTTGCAACTATGGCTTGAGAATCCAAAGCAACAATTGATAGTTGAAAATGCTCTGCCAGCGATAGAACCACCTTATAATAGCGACACTGTATTGGCGCGTCGAATTCACGCATTTTTAGAAAGACATGGTTTTATTAACTTTGGAGTATTTAAACGGCTTAAGGTGATATATGTTTTTATAATACATTTTCTACTTGAATACTATTTATAACAAATTATTGTCTTCTTATTTTAGCCATTACCTACGAAGAAATTAGGTAAAGTAATCGTAATTGGAGCAGGTATTGCTGGTTTAGCTGCTGCTCAACAAATGCAACAATTTGGCTTAGAAGTAATTGTACTCGAAGCACGGGTAATTGTTATTTAAAATTTTATTTTGTACTTAAGAAATGTGTAAGACATATGTTTTTCACATAAGTTTTTGATTTTATAGGATCGTGTTGGTGGTCGAATTGCAACATTTCGTAAATCTTCCTACATCGCCGATCTCGGTGCTATGGTAGTTACAGGGCTAGGTGGAAATCCAGTGACAACACTTAGTAAACAAATCAATATGGAACTTCACAAAATACGACAAAAGTGTCCTTTGTACGAAAGCGATGGTCAAACGGTTAATATAAATATAGTACATTTAAATGTTGTAATAATTAAATGTTTAAAACAATCATTTATGAAGTTTTAATATTTTTTCCGCGGATAGGTTCCGAAAGATAAAGACGAAATGGTAGAGAGAGAGTTTAACCGGTTACTGGAAGCTACGTCGTATCTTTCACACCAATTAGATTTTAATTACGTGGGTAGTGCTGGATCAGGGCAAAGTGGTAATACACGACCGGTTTCCTTGGGTCAGGCATTGGAGTGGGTGATACGTCTGCAAGAGCAAGGTGTCAAACAGCGTCAAGTTGCTCATTTGCGTTCCGTACTGTCGCTTCAAGGTCGACTTATCACTAATCAACATAGGGTAAGTATTCGAATTATTTATGCTTTGAATTTTTAGGAAATACTAAGAGTTCTTGTATTATAGATGATAGCGATCATGGATCGTTTGGTCGAATTGAATAAACAGTATAAAGAAATGACTGAGAGTAAATTACAAACACGTGATATAACACAAGAATTTGTATTACGTTCTAAGTTGCGTGATCTTCATAACGCATGCAAGGTATGGTCTTTTTTATTTGGTTTTTAATATCTTTATTTATACATTCCTGCACAGGAATTATATACTTGATTTGCTATATCAGGAGTGGGATCAACTTTCTGAACAACAGAAAGAAATTGAAGCGAAGTTACAAGAATTAGAAGCCTCTCCCCCTAGGTAAGTTTCCTTCGTTATTTGTTACACAATATTTTGCAAATTAAATACTTCTTGGTATGCGAAATTTTTGTTTCTTGTTCACAGTGACGTATACCTTTCTTCGAAGGACCGTCAGATATTGGATTGGCACTTTGCGAATTTAGAGTTCGCCAACGCAACGTCGCTATCGAATCTGAGCCTGAAACACTGGGACCAAGACGACGACTTCGAATTCACCGGCAGTCATCTAACAGGTAAGTCTTTTTAACAATGTTACATTAACTAGCATTTTGCTTTATTAAATTATCTGTTGCTGACTTTCACTGGGCGAGCGATTAGAGTTTACTTAAATCGCCAGCTAAATTGAGCGTAATTATTATAGTTGTACATTGCGATACGTTAAACACGCGAAAACATTCTAATTTCATGGAGCGTGCGTGATTCGTCGGGTAACCCCGCACGGCGTAACGCGTATACGGCATTATATCGACGTTCTCGAGAAATTGCTTAACCAGCCAGTAGATGGTATAGATAACGGGTGAATTATTCGCGGGCTGCATCTCCTTTACAGGCATCGGATAGTCTCTCGTACTCGGTGTCTGTACAGTTGACTTTATCAACCTTATTGAAAGTCGATAGCATGAGATTCCGTGTAGATAGTACGCTATATCCCTTAACCGATCGGTTACCAGAGTTCTCATTATGTGAAATTATACTATGATCATAGCGTGTTCGCTGTGCTAGAGTCTACTAATGCGTTAACAAAAACGAAAACAGCGAGAAATATGACTATAGATAATCAAGCGGTTTCGTATTTTACACTGTTCGAGTGTTCTCTCTGTT